CAATGGACTCAAACGTAACAGCAATTCTAAGTGTGGTGCAGTGTTTTGTTCTGTTGTGCAAAGGGTCAATGTAAGCTGGCATTAACTAGAGCTACTCTTCTTCCATTAAAGGTTTGCAGCCTCAGAAACGTATCATTCTTTCTTTCTTGCATCTTATCTTTTTTTCAGGATCTACTTTCTCTGAACTGCCTCCCCTTTGGTAGTTCCTTTATGAAGAGTCTGGAGTGGTAAATTCTTTGTTTTTTCTTTAACTTGCTCTCAATCTTAAAAGATACTTTCATTCTATATTGACAGGTTTCATTATTGCTGTAGAAAGATCAACTTGTAGATAATTTTTTCTATATTTGCTTTTAAGTAGTGTTTGTCTTTCTGTTCTGCATTTTCTCTCTGATGTGTCTAGATGTGGACTTGCAACACACTCTACCAGTTGTACCAGATCTAAGTAGAAATCAAGTTCAATTGACTTACTATAAACCCCATTTGGATTGGGTTTTACTTATCACAGGTGCAAGTAAACAAGACCCACAAGATGCAAGCAGTAGTCATCCTGGCTCAGAAGTTCTATGTCCCAAATAGCAAACAATCTCTTGCAATACCTCAATGGACATAGTAGCTTCCAGATTCCTGCAAGGGCCATGCCCAATTACAAAGTCATCTCAACGAGGACCCTGAGGCTGTGGTTTCCCAGCAAGTGTTCAAACTTCATTCACAGTCTTTTTTAGTCTAGATACAGTTTGCCAATCAGGAATTGCTTTAATATAAGCAATGTTGCTTAGTAACAACACATATTCCATCTTGCTAGGTTTTGAAGAGAAGAGAACGAGAAGGCCAAATTTATCTTCAGAGAATTGGCAAAAAGGCTTTTGTTAACTTATGTTGCTGCTGTTAAGTGTCATCAAATCAGTTCCTACTCACGGGAACCCGATATAGATAGGTTTTCCAAGGAGCAGCTGGGGAGTTTTAAACACAACGCTTGGGGTTAGCAGCCTAGTGTTTATCCTATGGTGCCATACCAGGGCTTCACTTGTAGGGGTTAGTATTTATCCTGCTTGGGATTTGCTGGATTCCTGAATGGGAAGATCTGTATCTTTCAACAATTTTATAAAGCTCTAAGCCATTATTAATGTTACTTCTTCTCAGATCCCTATTTATCTCCTCCATTGTAATTTGCCAACAGGTCAATTCCAACTTAGAAACAGCATGTCCCTTTCATGGTAATTTTTTTATTTTCTGGCATCTCTTACTGTATTTTCACATTCTGTTAAACAAATACTGTCATGCTTGGGTATAAGGTTTTACACTAGCATTTTATCATCTAATGACCAGTTAATTAGCTTAGCACATAGATTATGCAAAATAAACTACTGAATGAAGAAGGCTCTCTCAAGAACCAGGTAATAGAGCACCTCTACAGGTGTATGAAAGGAGCTCTGGTAGCATAGTGGTTACAAGTTGTTGTTGTTGTAGTTGTGTGCCATCGAGTTGGCACTGATTTTAACGACTTTATGCACAGCAGAACGATACACTGCCTGATTCTGGGCCAACCTCACTACTGTTGCCATGTTTGAATCCATTAATGCTGCCACTTGGCCAATCCATCTCGTTGGGGGTCTTCTTCTTTTTCTCTGACCCTCCACCTTAGCAAACATGAGATCCTTTTCCAGTGACTGGTCCCTCCTGACAATATGTCCGAA